CAAAAATGTAATGCACCAACCCTCCAATACAATCCGTTGAGAATGTTCACGTGTCATATTGAGTAGAGGATTCTTTTATATTGGGGAATCCTTGTTTACAATATTTGCCTCATTAGCATAAGCAATTCAGTTTCTGATAGAGCTAAAAATAAATCAGTTCTGAATATCGAAAGGTCAAAGTACGATTAACTCGGCCAATGAATACGAGCCTGATGCATTGAATACTTTTTGTGCAACACGGGTTTAAAAACTCAAAATTTTACATAGAATGCATGAGCTCATTAGCGCTTTTGCCACCCAGAAATTTTGCAGTTTTTGATGGACTATTTCTCCTTGAATATTACACCCAAAGAGCTAAAAATTTCACCATGTACTAAGGTTTTCTAGCTCTTTAGCTGCCTGAAGTCAATTTGTATCTAACATGCCTCCTTCTTTACGCAAAGCCGTATGCAAATGAGCAAAAATGTAAACAATGACGTCAGCATGAATCCGCCAATATCTAGGATGCCAAAGGAGCTAGCTTGGAATTAAAGAGAAAAAAATTATTCATGAAAGCAGCGTGGCCGATCGGGTCAGCGTGTCGGACTCGCAATCTACTGCTCCTGGGTTCGAATCCCACCCTGACCACTACCTGGATTTGTCTCACCGTAGCTCCGAGTTCAAATCCTCGGTCATGCTTGTAAATAGCCAACTGGTTTGCCTCCGGCCAGTTGGGATTCTTATTAATGTTATGTTCAATTTGAATTATTTGCTTCAGTTGTTTGCTCGGCTCCCACTTGCACTTGTGCTATAAACACTGCCGAGGGTAAGTTTCTTTAAGCACTTTCTGTTAATAAGAAATGCCTTGTTAGGCCGGAAACGCTTTCCGTTCTTAAACAAAAACAGTCAAAGTTGTGAGACTAGATCATGGAATTCCAGAATCGCACCCTCTGTTTTGATGTAACTGGTCGAAGAAAAAGCCAATTCAATTTTTTTTCTGGTCGGCCTCCTGATTGGTAGAGGGGGATCTAAGAATTATTCTCTTTTTTTTTTTTTTCAGTCTTGTCGCTAGAATGTTTCCACTGCAATGATAAAGCCTCACGATGCAAGCCAGGCACTAACATCTCGAAGATTATAGAATGTACCGAAGTTACCAGTCGATGTTTTGGGAGGACTGTTGAAGGTGAAACAAATGAAGAGGACATGATAGAGCGAGGCTGTATCAATGAAGAAGGCTGTGATATAATGATAAAAGCATGTGAGAATTCTGTTGACTGCAAAACTACCTGCTGCCATCAAGATCGGTGCAACAGTGCCGTTGGCAGTGGCTTTACATCGAACGCTTGCACATTAGCATGTGTGCTGGTTATAATACTCATATTGAGGTGGGAGGTTTCTTAAATAAAACAAGCAGGAACGGAAAGCATCAATTAATTTCGCGCTCGTCAGAGTTTTCTTTGCCACCTCATGCCGATTTACAAGTCTTTACAAGCTCTCCCGGAGGAAATTCCATGATGTCTCGGGATTCCTTAAAACCGTTTGTGTAACTTCACTTCAGTTCATCACTTTTTCCCACGCCCTCCTCACCGCTGAATAGCCCTTATCGCATTTGTGTCTGCAATGCAAAGGGTCCGCGGAGTTACAGTTTCAGGACGAGGCTATCGGGACAACTTTTCTCGAGAAACACCAGAAACACTCCATGTCTGACCATATAACTCTGGAATCTGCGTTTTTTTCTGCCGAGGAAAAGGTTAAAATTCTTAGTGGTAATTGTCCTGGCATCACGAAAGGAAGATTGAAAGAATGGCTGTCATTTCGGAAAGGAACGGCAAAATTTTGTCGCGTTTGTTCATGACTACGGTTGTTGTTCCTTTGTCGGCCTTTTTGAGGTTTAACTCAGAGTCACGTTTCAAGGCCCTCAGCGCCTTGCGTTCGGCCGGAAGCAAATTATCTTTTGGCTTTGTAATTTCTATTTCTGAAAGGTCACTTTTAACCTCTTCTAAATAGCTTTCAAGGGCTACTGATTTTTGTATTGGTGGTATCCATGTAGATTTGACGTGGCAGGGATGGGTTTTTTTT